TGAAGATAAAGAGGAAGTGAAGGACTTGGTTGAAATGGCATCAGATTGGCTGAGGCAATGGTTTGTGGAGGTGCAACCATGGACACCAAAAATGACTGCAACCGAGAGATTCGTATGGATAAGGTGTTAAGGGGTCCTTTTGAATGCCTGGGAAATTGATTTCTTTTCAACCATGAGCTGTTCATGGGGAAAGTTCATTTGCTTGGATGATAGCACAAGCAAAAAGAAAAGGTTCGACATTGCAAGGTTTCTTATCTCTACTCCAATCATGGAGACAATCACAGTCACAAGGCAAATTAAAATTAATGGAGATGTCTACCAAGTGAAGTTCTCAGAGGAAGAATTTACCAACAGTTTTTTTTCTTTGAAGGAGGATTTTATGCCAGCATTTAACAGTGATTCAGAGGACTGCGAAACATGGTCTACTGGGAGTGATTCGGAGTTGAAGGCCTTAGAAAATGGATGGATGAAGGACGATGCTTAAACTGGGGATCCATGGGTAGAAGAGGATGATGTCTCTGGACACATGAAAGAGAAAGAAAAAAGACAAGCAGAAGATGTCAGCGGGAAAGAAGGAGAGCATGCAGAAACGGGAGGATTCACCAGGGACAAAATTCAAAATTTGAATTTAGAAGATGAAAGTACAAGATCGGGCGCGGAACCAAAGAGGCAGGAGATGCAGAGATCGGATTCGGGTTCAGAAAGTATTGAAGAGGGCACAAGGGAAGTGGATCTCATGAGGAAACCCAATATGAAACCAGTGATAGAGCCCAATTTGCAAATGGAAAGCCCATTAGATGAGGAATCAACAGTGCAGGGGCGGAACCAATCAAAAAGCCCAATGGAGAAATCAAATACAAACAAAATTAGGGGCAATTCTAGAAATAGAAGAAGAACAGAAGGACGCATCGAAGAAGAAGGCAATGACTTGTTTTGGAAGGGCTTTGAAGCAGAGAGGGGACGCATAGATGAGTGGATCGGCAACTAGATAGAAGACAGTAAATCGAAAAGGGGAAAAAGGAGGGTTAGATGGTGCAGTTCGGTGTACAAAGAAGTTGATACAGGGGACGCAGCAGAGGTAAGCAGTAAAGAAAGGAGGAAGCAAAGCACACAACAGAGGGAGGGAAAGCCAACTCTAAGTTTCATGCCGGACGAGAATGGGAAAATAGCTAGAGGCTCAATAGGGGACAACGACATACAGAATTGCAACAAAATCCTCAAAAAACAAAGGCAAGATTAGCTGGAAAAGGAGATTTTGGATTTAGCGACATAGCTCGGAGCAGTTGCAGAAAACGACATTGAGGTGATTCAGAGAATTGAGGAGATGGAGGACAGAGACAGACGAGCAAAGATAACTTTGGTGAACCGAGAAGAGGAAGATAATAGGAAGGTATGTGATGAACCCAATGATAATGTTGTCATTTAATGTTAGGGGTGTTGGCGGGGTAGGGAAGAGAAGACAGATCAGTGATTTAGTTAGGAAAGAAAAAATTCAGTTTTTAGCAATACAGGAGACTAAGATGGAACTGGTAGATAGAATAACTTGTAGAAGTTTGTGGGGGACAGAGGATTTGGACTGGGTTGCAAAGGCATCTGTTGGAAAATCAGGGGGATTGCTATGTGTTTGGGACCCGAGAGTTTTGAAGAGGAAGGAGACTATAGAGGGTGAGAACTTTATTGGGGTGTATGGTTTGTGGGGAAGGGAGGAGACACCGGTATTCTTAGTAAATATATACTCCCCGTGCCAATTAACAAAAAAAAGAACCTTGTGGGAAGAGTTGCAACAATTAATTAAGAGCAGGAGGGGGAATTGGTGCTTAACAGGGGATTTTAATGTAGTGAGAAGGGCTAATGAGCGAGCAGGGTGTAGCATGACATCTTCTGAAATGAGAGAATTTGATGATTTTATCCATAGTTCTGAATTGATTGACTTGCCTCTAGTAGGGAGAAAATACACTTGGTACAGCTCAAATGGTCAACACATGAGTAGACTGAATAGATTTTTATTATCAGAGGAATGGATGGCAAAATGGAGCAATGTGAAACAACGGGGAATGAAGAGGTCTGTTTCGGACCACTGCCCAATTTTGTTGAAAAATGAGCTGATGGATTGGGGGCCAAAACCATTCAAATTTTATGATGCTTGGCTGGATCATCCAGGATGCAAGGAGATGATTACAAAGGTGTGGAATAGTTGTGAAGTGAAAGGGTGGAGTGGTTTTAAACTCAAGGAGAAGCTGAAGCATACAAAGCTTGCTTTAAAGGAGTGGAGCAATAATATGAATATGGAGGTGGATAGCCAAATAAAGGATGCAGAAGACACAATTGCTAGAATTGATGAGAAAGGTGAGCAGAACCAATTGTCAGATAATGATATTGAAAAGAGGAGGAAGTGTTTTATTGATTTGTGGAAAAATCTAAGAATCAAGGAGAGGATGTGGCAGCAAAAATCAAGCTATGGTTAAAAGAAGGTGACGCCAACACAAAATTCTTCCATAGGTGTGTGAAAGGAAGATGGAGAAGAAATGAAGTTAATAGCATCTGGATCAATGGGGAGCAACTTACAGAAGTGGAGACAATAAAGCAAGAGACTGCTAAGTACTTCCAAGATCTGTTTGCAGAAGAACAGTGGAGTAGACCAAAACTAGATGGGATCAGTTTTAAACAAATATCACAGACTGATAATGAGATTCTCATAGCAGCCTTCTCGGAACAAGAAATCAAAGAAGCAATATGGAATTGTGACTCATCCAAATCTCCAGGGCCGGATGGATTCAACTTCAGATTTGTTAAGACGATGTGGGAGGTCATAAAACTTGATGTGATCAATTTTGTACAGGAATTCCAAGAACATGGCAGGTTGGTCAAAGGGTCAAATGCTTCTTTCATTGTGCTAATTCCGAAGACAGAAAATCCCTAAGGAATTGAGGAATACAGACCCATATCGCTCATCGGAATTTTGTACAAAATCATTGCAAAATTACTAGCAAATCGGTTGCGAAACGTGTTACCCAAGGTGATCGGTGAACAGCAGATGGCTTTTCTTAAAGGAAGACAACTAGCGGAAGGAGTAGTGATTGCAAATGAGGTTATCGATGAGGTCAAAAGGAAGGAGATGAAGAGCTTTCTTTTTAAAGTCGACTTTGAGAAAGCTTATGATAAGGTATGCTGGGAGTTCATTGAGTACATGATGTTGAGGATGGGATTTAACGCAACTTGGAGGAAATGGATACAGGAGTGTCTAAAATTGAGTTTGGTATCCATTCTCATTAATGGCAATCTGACGAAACAATTCCCGGTTAACAAAGGCATCCGTCAAGGTGACCTGTTATCCCCCTTTTTATTCTTGATTGTTGCGGAGGGTTTGAATGGACTAGTGTCATCAGCAGTGGAGAAGGGATGGTATAAAGGAGTGACAATTGGCAACGGAGGCACTATGGTCACACATCTTCAATTCGCGGATGACACCTTATTTTTCGGGGAGGCTACGGAGCACAACATACGGGTGATCAAATGCATTATGAGGACTTTTGATTTGGCTTCAGGGCTAAAGATAAATTTCAGAAAAAGTGAACTGATGGGAGTGGGAGTAGAAAAAAGCTGGAGCGGTAAAATGGCTTATAGACTGTATTGCAAGGAAGGGGAGCTGCCAGTTAAGTATTTAGGAATCCCAATTGGTGGTAGTCAAAGGAGAGTAGCTATGTGGCAGCCATTGGTGGAGTCGGTTAAAAGGAAATTAGCTACATGGAAGGGGAGGCATCTATCAATGGGAGGTCGCATTACGCTCATCAATTCAGTGCTATCAAGTTTGCCTGTGTTCTTGATGTCAATCTATGTAATCCCAAAAGGTATAATTTATGCTATTGATAAAATTCGTAAAAGTTTTTTATGGGGAGGAAAGGGAGATGATAGGAAAATAAATTGG